TTCGCTTGTTCTGCCTTCTAGACTACTCAGATTGCATGATCATCAGCGACTCTGTCGTTGGCACACGACATGGGGCTGTAGACAACGCCCATCCACGTAAAAACCTACTATGCGACAAATTTTAACATGCTTTGTAGTGTGTGTGTCAGCTCATTCAATGAATCACTAAACCACTTAATCTTCTGATTAATTCCTCGTTAGGGTCTTGCGGGTGAGTCCTCTCGAGCATAGTATGCGTCAGAACATTATGGGATTCACCGCCCTTTTCAATTGTGATAACAACTTTTTACGCAGAAAATACGCTTTTGGCGATTTTTGGTTTCATCTTCTGGGGTCATCATCCCCTCCAGCTTTCTTTTTTGGTGTGGTCACAAAAGTTAGCCTTTTTTGGTCTGGCTACACTGCTTTTGTTGTAAAAGGGCGCATCTTTTGTCACTTCATACACTGTCATCCATTATGTCCTTGTCTAAATTCCTTCCTTTGCCTCCTTTTTGTTCGACGCCAACTTCCAGCGGCCTTTATGAAGAAGAATGCCGCAAGTCGATTGGCTTAGAAAAGAGCCTGAGCACCAAACAGAGCACTTTGAATAGCACTGAAGAGAAGCTGAAGTCAGTCAATGCCTCCCTTCAAGTACGTTTGTTTCGTTATCTTTAAGGCTCTTTTTGCTGCGTTAACATTCAACTGAGGCAGCCTTTTTGTGAAGTCTCCAACCCATTTTATGCTCTTCACTTCAGGCTGCTTTAGCTAACTTCCAAAAGGAACACAATCGCGTTCGTCTCGCCGACAATCGGATTAGCCAACTCGAACAGGAAGTTGATACGCTCAAGAGGTACGTGAATTTACAGTTTTACTACATTTTAAGGCCAGTGTCCCAGCACTGCACATCTTTTGTTGCCTTGTCCAGTGCACGTCTGCGTTATGTATCCCTCCTTCCAAAAATATGTCGCCTTCTCGCGTTGTATTTTTCTTTCCATGATCACCAGTGGTAACCGAGGAAGACTTGTAGAGGTCACATCGCTCTAATTTAACTTGATTTTGGGAAATAATATATTGATTTTTCGTTTTACCGAGATATGACAAAAACCATTGGAGTCTCCCTCGCATGTTTACCGAGCATTTCCACTTAGTAAGTATTCGTCGCTAGGTCCACATCAAATAAGCTGGATGTTTAAATGGCAGTATATCTAGAAACAATGTAACACTGCGCTGTCGGGCGACAGGGCCCTACTCAGTGTTAAGCATAGTTTTTTTATGTTTTTTATACATGAAGCTCGTCTTCAAATGGCCCAATAATGAAGACGTTGACTGCCTCGGTTGGGCTCCAATGCACAGCAATAAAAACGAGGCTTACTTAGCGCCAAAACTCCACCTAACTACTAAGCCCGGCCAACAATTGACTTTTTTTCATATTAATGCCACCCATCATACTAAAAGGTGTAGAATCCACCACTTCTGAACGCTTGCAGAGGTCCTCCTGAATGATCGAGGCAGCATCTACCAGCTGACTGCGCTACCTCCAAATTTTAATAGGTGAATTTCATATTATTCAACTGCATTTTGGCATAATGTCCAGGCCAATCCTCCAGAGCCCCGTCTCGATGGTTGTACACCGCTTTCTGTAGTAACGATCATTTTTCTTCCGACAACAATCGCGAATTGAACCAGACAACGAGAAGATCAAATTCGAGAGCC